TGATGATCGTAGATATTTTTTAATATGTTTTAGTTTGCTTTAACTTCGATCTGAACAGGTTGAAGTGTTCGTGATTTGTCCTCAAACAGTTCATCAGATTGCTTTTTGTGCTGTGGAATTTTTTGTTCGTTAGAATAGACTCAACTGCAATTTTTTCGGCTACTGTTTTAGACTCTTGTATCCAATATTCCATAGGATTTTTCTCTCATTTTTTATAATTCCTCAGTTTTGGTCAGTTCTTTCGTTAACTACACAGAATGTGGAAGACGAATTCCTTTTGAATTTCTATATTTACTCGATTGAATTCTGGAAAAATATTAGCTCAAATTTTCAGGTTGATAGTAAATTAAATTTTTCACAGCATGTACCAGATGTCCTACCTTGTGCTTTGATTCCACATCAAGAGAAATATTTTTTTAATTTCTTTTTAAATATTTTAATATTTCAGGTAATTCATTAGAAAACTTTCACAGCCACATGTTTGCCGACCATCTTTCTGGCTGCTCCTTTTAATTGTATTTTGTACATTTTTTCATAATATCTCGAGTAGTGCATCCGAAAAAAGCGAAGTATTTTCTGAGTAATTCAAATAGATTAACTGCTTCCGGGCAAAAGAAGCAGAATGCACCCGACAATACAAGGAGTGATCCATACATCCACAAATCCTCCAGCTTTATTCATTTCTGTAATCTATTTGTACTTTTTAGAAATGCCAGAGTATATACCCGTTGTCCTAACTGACACCACATTGCCAATATCTAAACCTCAAGTGCCAATTAAGACACTAATTTTCTACTGCACTGAGAAATACATTCCCTATCTTTCCAACAACATCTATGAATCATTAAATTTTCCTTTATCTCACATGCTACATCATCCACACGTTTTTTACGCAGTGATCACTGGTTCATTTTTTTCGGTATGAGAAAATGGGTGCATCGAGCATTATGTGTATATTTGGCTTCTTTAATATCGTTTAAAATGTACTTCAAACTGTTTTGCCTTTAAGTTAATAACTTATTTGATACCTTTGACAAATATGATTCCTTTCCTTTTTTGGTGCTTTGACTGGTATTAGGAGTTGAAGTATTGGCAAGCGGAGATTTTAATTCAGAAATTTCCTTCATAGGTCGAAGACACTTTGTGAACAGCTACTTGGGATTTTATCAGACTGAAGAAAAAACGACAGTTTTGAAAGATCCAGTACCCATCCATGAGATATATAGAATTTATCTCCATTTTTCTTTCTCTGTGTGAATGAGTCGCTCAGTGTCATGATCGATGCCTTGGCACGATTTCTTTGTTGTACTCGAATTTTCACTTAAGATCATCTCTGTGGATTCAGAGCTTTGCTCAGTTAATTTTAAAAATTTTTTTTTCCAATTAATGAATCCTGTAGATGGTAGCGGCAACACCATATTTCTGATAATCTTGCAGCGGAAAAAATTGCATTCTTTTTTTGAATATGAACCATATCTCCTAAGCTTTCATTATTTACAATTCAATGTCTGCCATCACGTAGTGGGCGAGGTTTACGTTTTCTGAATGTTTACTGCTAATAACTGATTGATTGCTAAGAAATTGTTGTGATCTTTTATTTTTTTCTATGACCAGCTAATGCAGGGGTCCAACAAATCAAAATTTTTAGTTTTTCGTCTTTCTGCTCCCTGCCCCCATCTAATTGAAAAGATCTTTATAAATCTTGGTTCCATATTCTCCAGCTATTCGTTTGATGTCGATGAAGAAGGTTGTTCTTTCAAATGCTGACTTGTAGATTGTTTGGGGATGATATAGGCAGTCATGTTTGGTCGTGCAAATTGCAAGAAATATTAATAACCCTCTAGATCTATAGGAGAATAGATAAGAAGAATCTCAGGATAATTGGAATTGAGGCAGAGTCTGATGGTTTACTTCTTCGGTAAAGTTATTTTTTCATCTTAGCTGAAATTTGTTTTCTCTGTTTGTCCTTATCTTTCGCTTGTTTTCTATATTCCAATTTTCTCCCCCTCAGCGTGCAAATGGTTTCTTTCAATCTAAATGAAATTCACTATGAATTGCTTGAATAAGAATAACTAAGAATTCATGTAATTACACTGAACAGTCCTAAATAAATGGTCGCGTCTCGCTAATTATAGTGCGGGCTATTAAAAGCAAGCATATTTAAAAAAAAAAAAAAAAAAACAGAAGAGACCTGAAAACTAAAAAATAACCATAAAAATAATAAATCTAGCTTTAAATCCCAAACAGCTCCCTGTTCCGAGTCAAACCAATGTGACCTAGTTGCGACTGGCTGAAAGATCTAATGCCTTCTCATCTTCTCTGAAGACATAATGATGTGTCTTGTTAACTCGACGAATATTAATTGAATATTTCATTTGTCGAGTGGCCCAGCTGGTCTTTGGATTAGATCTTAGAAATAGTTATAATGCTCTTCATTCCCCAGCAGACATTGCTAGGAAACAGGCAACTCCTTCAATAAGCTATTGTTCTATTTCTGTTGAAACACCCCGGCCAGACAGGAAAAGATAGAGGACTTCAGAGTACTGATAGGGTCAGTCTGATTCTATCGTGACACCTGCAGTTCCTCTATTTGCGTCTTTCTGATCTTATATTTATAGTTGTAATTGGCTGTACTTAACTTTATTTTAACTCATGTTCCTTAGGATTTAATTAGTTCTTAGTATTTAATTACATTGTACTAAAATTAAAGAGCTGTTTTAGTGAACAACACATCAAATACGATCTAGCGTTATATTTGAATTTGCCGCCCACGAGAGTTGCTGCCAGGGGCAAGAACCACAGCTTGCCCCCCCCCCGCTAGATCCGGGACTGAATATTCCAAATAAAAATTATACTATTGGCACAAATAAACACATTTTATATATTTGCTAATACACTGACTAGTCTTAAAAGTAATTAGGGCAAATAAAATTGCCTATGGAAAATAAATATTTAAAAATACTGAGAAAATTTGGAAAAAAAAAAAAATGAAAGGCACTTCTGTTATTTCATCACGAACATATCATAATTCTCTTTAAAATATCCCACAAAAAAGTGCTTTAGTATACTTTTCAGTTTTTGAGAGTAAATTTTCAAAAGTAAATTTTCTTTTTAGAACAACAAGGAGAAAAATTACCAGACGGAGAAAATCAAATGACACAGGAAAGCCCTCCCCTTTTACCAATGTCAACATTTATGGAAGTATAGGAATTTTTTTTTCATTTTCTGCTTCTTATAGTTTCTGATTTTATCAATAAGAAGTTGAGGTGTCATTCTGCTTAATAATAAGAAGTTCAGTCTGATTTTATCAATAAGAAGTCGATTTGTTGAGTGTCATGTTACACTTTGTTAATCAGTCAAATCAATATCACAGATAAAATCAATGTGTTAAAACTTAAAAAATATTTTTTTAAATCTAACAAGAACATTTTTGCATCTGTGAGAAGTTATTAAATTATTACATGCTTAGTTTTAACTTGGAAACATGGAGGGAGATATTTCACCATAGTCAACAAGTCAACAGAGAAAAATTGAGAAAATATCAGAGCTGGGAAGCCATTGTACATCACAAAAAAATTAAAAAAGAAGATTATGAATCACAGCCTTTGATAATTATCTTCAGCTGGAAGACAATTCGGTAAAATCCTAGCATACGGTGCAACCGTGGCGCGATTTTTAAAATTATCGCCAACACCAAAATGACCCGTTTACTACTCACCGTATATGTCACTTTTAGTGCTCATCATAAAGTCGCCAGTAAACTAGGATTAAACTGACAATTCTAACTACAGGTAACCAATCAAATCATTACACCCTTCATTATTAAAATGATAATATATATATATAATGCTATCCATCAATCTATTCTGTTTAACAATAAAAACTGAAAATTTAAAGGATTAAACTATTTAATTTAACATTTTCTTTAAAAGAATGTAATACAACTGAACTTTTTCCTTCATTTTGTTCCTGTTATGAGAACTTGATAAATTTTGCATTAGATGGCCTACCAACTGCATTCATGTCAAATGAGGCTTTATTATGTTTTCTGTAAAGTCTTTTATCATATCATCTGCGAAACAAAATATTCAAAATCTATCAAAAGAAGATGAAATTCAGTAGAAAACAGGTCAAAAGAAAGATCCATATCCTTAAAAAAAAAAAAAAGGAACATTATGCTGATTCCGATTTTAAATCGACTGCTTTAAAGCATATATAAGAATGAAATGATTACCAATACATATTAAAAAAATTAAACATAAATATTAAAATTTACTAGTGTTTGAAAAATTCTAATTGCAAAACATTTCGATTTCTATAATCAAATATATAAAAAAAATTATACACATAAAAGATATTCCTCATATCAATCAAATACTTAAAATAAGATCATTAATGTCTTATGCCAAAATGCCTTCAAGGTTTTCACTGAAAGCTCCTGAAACGTTTCTTGATATAAATTCACTGCTGCTTAACATTTTACTCTATACATGTTTTGTACGATAAGAGATAAGACTTTTAATTAGAAGGAGGAGGACGTGATATTTATGAATTCAAATTACTGCTAAGCGTCGTATGCTCGAAAGAGTCTACGCGGACGTAATTACAAAAAATAGTAATAAATTCAATTCCCTTAACGGGAACTGGGCTTACGCTTACTTAAAATTTACCTTAAATATATATTTCTATTACTATTTTCTTAGAATAGTCAAGGTAAAATAGTTAGGTTATACATAAATTTAATATTGTTGTCAAGATGGTTTTATTTGACAGAATTTCAAATTTACTTACAATTTACGTCAGCGGTCCCTAAATCACATTACGGTGAAAGTAACTTTACTTTGAATAAGTTAGTTAAGATTAAATTTTTTAAAAAAAGTTACTAAAACAGTATGTACTTAACTACATTCAATGACATACTTGCGCACTATTTACATAAATAAATTACTTTTTATTTTTTTTTTAATATTCCATTAATTACACATAAAATTTAGGCTTACCTGTTTTAAACGTTTAACCAAATCTTTTTTACTTCCACTTTTCGATAAACCCCGTTTATCTAATTCTTGTTTTAAATCAACCACTCGCAGGTTACCAAGAGTTTTACCATCTAACGAAACCGAAACTTCATCTTCCATAGCAATAAAAACTTCAAATTTAGGCTTAACAAAACCTTGATGTAAATAAACAAAATGAAAACAAATATTACGTAAGATGTAGCTTTCCGTTACCATAAGTTACCCACTTTGGACGTTTTTAATTGGTTGGTTTACAGTTGCCATTTGTTGTTGTAAATTCTACTAAACTTTTCTCCCAATAAAATAAACTTTAATGCAAATACGTATTTTATCTGCACCAGCACTCGCAAGCATTTCGCAGTGTTTAATTAAAAATGACAAAGATAAACAGATCGCATCTCGAGCTCGGCGCTGCGATCGCGAAAGCTGGAGGCAGTGTCTAAACATAGCTCCGAAATTTTTAAATAAGTGTTTCAGTAAATGTTTTCAACTCTCTAAAAAAGTTTAATGCACCTTTCCTATGCAATGTCTCATTCATCAAATTGAAAAAGGAAACTTCGCTTCTTCGAAACTTCAAATTTGTTCGCTGTTCACTAACTACACGAGAGATCCAAAAGAAACCCTGACACAGAATATTCAGATAAGTAACATTCTGTTCTCTATACAACATCTTATTCTCTATCACTAAAGTGCCATTAAATTTCTTTATTTATTATTTTCATAAGATTCTAGCATTATACAATAGTTAGTAATAGTAGCAAGTCATGTGGTTCTTTTCTTCGTACTTTCCGTAGAGACGCCCATTCCTTATCAGTATCCGTTCTTATCAGCAATTCACACATTCGGAGGTCCCCTTTTCGTGCTTAGGAATTTCTTGAGAGGGAAAATGGGGATCTCTTGACCATCGAAAACATAGCTGAGTGAAAAACATAACACATTTGACTAATTCAAAGTTATTAAATCTTACTTTCATTTCAAACATTGTGTTTCTGTTATGTTATTCTTCATGCAGAATGACATAACAGAAACACAATGTTTGCAATATTCGCCTGCTCCAGCTTTGCAGCTACAATGAAATCCACCTGCTTTCATTTTTCATTTTCAATGAATACTCCATTAACCATGTGTGGCGGTGAAGCAGTCGAACTTAATTGAAGACATGATGCTTCTATCACGATTTCTCCATCTTTTCTGGCCTTAATACCCTACATTATCAATCGTTTCGAAGCCAAAATTGCTTCCCCTTCTTTTATACAATTATTAGCACTGGTACCTTGTATAAATTCCAAAACTGTGGAAATCTGCAATTTTTTACCCATCGTAATACTAGGGTTTCAACAGCAGCTAACTCAGTAAAAAAACAACTCAGACTTCAGGTTTATTAGCAGTTTCAGACGAATTTGAAACTTTCTCTATATCGGTCATTACAATCGCCAATAGATTGTGATTTTTGTAACTAAGATCCTCGACTTTTTTTTCAGATCTCAAACTTAGAATTATGAGCAAATATAAATACAGTGTGACGGAATTTGTTAAAATTGTACTATAATAAATTACAACGGTTAAATTAAGAAATTAATTAAATATTTAACTAATATTTAAGAAAAAAAAACTGTATAATTTATTTTTGCTGAAATGCTCTCACACTGTGTATGGATTTATGATTTTGTCAATTACTGTTTTTCTGAAATATACATGAATTTTTTGGGAACGGTAATAGTTAATGTTACTTTAGTTAAAATATTATGTACATCTCTGTGATGATTTATGTCTTTTCTTGTTAGGTCTCAAGATAACTCATTACCATGTAGGAATTCTTTTTTTATTATTATTATCACAAAAATGCTTAAATTTTCTCAAATTATCACGCAGTATTACAATATCTCACAGTAGTTTTCTTTTAACTACTCAAATGTCCAATAGAACGTAATTCAAAACAGCTAAAGAACGCTAATCCACGAATTCGCTACAATCAACAACAGTAGTTTTTTTAAACAACAACAAACTAAGCAACTACTACAAACTGAGATGTTTTCCTCCTTTTATAAGATTTTAAAATCACGCGCTAGAATTTTCCAGTACTTTCTCGAAATCAAAAAGAGATATTTATTTATTTAATGCACGCGCTCTTGTATTTTTCAATTTTCCGGCTTAGCTTTCTTTTAATATTCGTCACGCGCTGCACTGCGCGAGAAATAAAACCAATTAATTTATAATTGAACTAACATTAGCTTTTTAAATACCAAATTCGTAACACTGGCCCCCTTCCCAAGGACTGCACGTCCCGGGCAGTACAATCCCTGGACAGGAATGCTAAATTTACAACTGTGGCATAAATGCAACTAGGCATAAACATTACATTACAATAAGAAACAACATAAACAATAAATGCAATAAGTAACTTAAAGCAAATCAAATAGTAAATACAAGTCAAATACAAATACAAAACAAATCAAATACTCAAATACTAAATACAAATCAAATACTAAATACAAATAAATACAAATCAAATCAATACTAAATACAAATCAAATCAAATACACATTTATAAACAAAAAGGACCATGGTCTTATACTATTTACAATTATTTACATTACGTACTATGGCCATAGTAATGAGATAACCTGTCGTAATGAACGACTTTAGGTTTAGAGTTCGAAGACTTACGAATCCGAACCACGACATCATTCAGCCTGTTTAGGACTGTGTACGGCCATCCCAAGGTGACTGTAATTTCGGACAAAGTCCTTTCCGTCGATTCGGATTCCACAACCACACCTTGTCTCCTTCGTGGAATTGATGTTCAGTAGCTCTTATGTCATATCGGGTCTTCCTCTTCTCCGTCGCCAAGTTGACTCGCTCTCGTGCAAAGTTGTGCATCACTTCAAACCGGGCCTGGAGATCTTGAATATATTCCTCAGACGATGAAGGAGCATCCGGAGGGCGGCCAAACAATAGATCACAAGGCAGACGAAGATCACGACCGAAGAGCATCTGTTATGGGTAATAGCCGGTAGTCTCGTCGACAGTACTGCGGTAAGCCAGTAAAAAGAGTCGTTAATTTCTTGTCCCAGTCCTGTTGGTTTTGGAACCACTAATGAGAGGTTATTAAGGATGGTTCGATTGAACCTCTCTACCATGCCGTCCGACTGGGGATGCAATGGCGTCGTTTGAGTTTTGTCAATGCCGAGTAGTTTGCATAGTTCTTTGATTACTGCCGAGGTAAAATTCCTTCCCTGATCGGAATGTAACTGAAGAGGCACTCCGAACCTGGAAATCCAGTGCTGTATCATTACCTCAGCTACTGTGACAGCCTCTTGATCAGGAACAGGATACGCTTCAGGCCACTTGGTGAAGTAATCAATGACAACGAGTATGTATTTGTTGCCATCAGCAGTTCGTGGCAGAGGTCCCAAGATGTCAAAGGCGATACGTTCAAAGGCGCCCCTACGTTGTAACGTTGCAGCTTGCCTCGGCTGCGTCTCTTCGGTCCTTTCCGACCTGCACAGGCATCGCAGGATCGGCACCACTTTTGCACGTCATCCTTTGCATTATTCCAGTAAAAGCGCTCACGAACTCTCTGTAAGGTCTTCATTATTCCAAAGTGACCTCCCGTAGGGCTGTTATGTAGTTCTTTAAGGACATCAGGAATGCGGGATCTTGGAAGTATCAGCTGCCATCGGAACGTCTTCCCATCATCCGATTCAAATTTCCTTGTATAAGACGCCGTTTCGAATGTGAAGTGAATCCCAGAAGTGCCCAGTACTATTTTGTCATGTAGGACTACAGATAGAAATGTCCTGCCAGGTAGGTTTTCTTTTTCTGTTTGAAGACTCCATTAAATTCAATAATAGGTTTAATGTCGCGGTCTTCCAGCTGGTCTTTCCTGACTTCATCATCACTCCACGGTTTCTCGATCAGCCGATGTTGATGTTGTAATTTGTCGTTGCGACCGGAGTCAGCAGCTCGTATTTCGCTTCCAACCCTGGAACAATATCGGCAGCTTTCTTGGCAAGATCTTCTAGACAGGGCGTCGGCGTTTCCCGTGTGATGATCCCTTACGATGACGGATAGTGATGTCATATTCTTGGAGTCTCTTGTATCCACCTGGCTATTTGACCCTCAAGATTCTTGAAAATTTAAAAGCCAGGTCAATGATGCATGATCGGTGCGGAGCAGGAATTTTCTGCCATATAGATAATGATGGAAATGTTCTACGGCTTTGACTATGGCGAGCAACTCTTTCCTGGTGACACAGTAATTCCTCTCCGGTTTAGACAGGCACTTGCTCCAGTAAGCCACTACACGTTCTTGGCCGTCTATTTCTTGGGACAAAACAGCACCGACACTTTCATTGCTCGCGTCCGTGTCGAGAATAAATGGTCTGTCGAGCTGAGGATACGTCAGGATTGGAGCAGATGTTAAAGCTTCCTTTAAGTTGTTAAATGCATCCTCGCATTCTTTTGTCCACAAGAACGTTTGCTTGCTCTCTGTCAGCTTGTGAAGGGGTCTTGCGATGGAAGAAAAGTCCTTCACGAATCTCCTATAGTAGGTGCAAAGCCCTAGGAAGCTTCTCAGCTGATGGACATTTTCGGGACGTTTCCAGGATTTAACCGCTGATACCTTTTCAGGATCCGTGCGCACACCTTCTGCAGAGATGACATGTCCCAGGTAAGTCACTTCCTTTCGGAACAATTTGCATTTAGCGGGACTCAGCTTCAGATTGGCTTCTTTCAGTTTCTGAAGCACCTTCCTAAGATTTTCTAAATGTTCTTCAAAACTCTTTCCGACGATGATGATGTCGTCCAGGTATATCAGGCAGGCTTCGTAGGAAAGGCCTTTCAAAACAGTCTCCATAAGACGTTCGAATGTTGCCGGCGCATTACACAGTCCAAACGGCATCACCTTGAATTGCCAAAGCCCTTGTCCCGTAGTAAATGCCGTCTTTTCTCGGTCATCAGGGTGTATTTCTACCTGCCAATACCCACTCTTTAAATCAAGTGTTGAGAACCACGTGCTTCCAGTAAGTGTGTCCAGAATGTTGTCATTTCTAGGAAGAGGCTAACTGTCTTTCTTCGTAACCTCATTCAACCAGCGATAGTCAACGAAGAATCTTGTTAAGCCGTCTTTCTTTCTGACAAGTACGATGGGAGATGCCCATGGACTTGAGATGGACGATGGATGCTGAAGGCTCGATGACATCGCCTTCTTCCATATCCTTTA